GGCATCCGGGGGGACGAGGGCCCCGGCTGAGAAGGGAGCTGCGGCAGGAACAGCCCCCGCGGGGCCTGTCCTCCCAAAGCGGTGGCGCTCCATTTGGAAAAGTGCCTTCCTAGCAAGCAAGTCAAGGGGCCAAGAATGCCAACCGCGACTCGGGTCCCTGAGCGGCGCACGTGCCTTCTGGGGTGCCACCATCCTGATCTTGCGTGCAAAGCTAATGTGCTGCCCTGCTGGGTCCTCATGAGACGGGCAGGCTGCCCTCTGCATGTCTACAGAGGGGGGACCCTACCTTGCAAGGGCACAGGGCGAGCAGGGAAAGGGAGGCCCGTGCCAGGAAGAGACCCCGACATCCACCTGCCCAGGAGACGCCTCTGCGCTATTTTAAAGGCGTCTGAAACTACAGCACAGGCCTGTTCGGCTTCCGCTGCTCACCAGAAGCCCATCTTCATCGGGGGGGTGGGGCACAAGACAGGGGTACAAAAGTCTCTCCCAACGGCGCCTGCCCCTCCCTCATCTCTTATCTTCTATGCACCTTTATCATTGCCTTTTGTTTTATTGCTTCTATTGTAATTTATTTGATTGTTGTGAGCTGCTCAGAATCATTGGGAGCCAGGCATCATACAAGTTTAATAAATTATCATCTTCATCGTCATCATCATCATCATCTTGGGTGCCAAAGGGAGAAAAAGGGGGGCATACCTGTTGATCAGCGTCACGACAGCCGCAAACAGCTCCTCGTACAGCCCGGCGGCCATGCCCTCGAGGCACTCCACCCCGGTCAGCTTGGGGCCTGAAGAAGAAGAGGACCAGTGGGCGGAAGTCCCCTCCTCGGGACCCCAGCCAGGCTGCCCCCAAGTCCCAGTGAAATCCACGTGGAACATCACACGTTAAGAACCTGCTTAGCGCCCCCAACCCAAAAGAGATTCCCCTCCTGAGCGCATTACTTCCATCTAACGAAAGGCCGAGGGGACGATGAGGCTTCAGTTTTGCATATCGGCACCAACAGTGGGCCTCTCCAACCGAGATTTATTGGAGTCATTCCGAAATTCTGTTTCATGCATAATGCCAACGGCATACTGATTTTATGGCTGGTCTGTAGCAAATATCCCCCCCTCCCTCCCTCCCTCCCCAGGAAACGGGTTTGGGGTGCATCCTCAGCATTTGGCAAAACATATTGTGCTTAACTGCTCAAAGGACATGAAACGTTTCTTTTTCTGCTGGAATAATAAGCTGAGGTGTCCCGAGAAAATATCACGGGACAACGTAATGATGGAAACAGGTGGCCCATTCAGTTTTTATTAGAACGCATATTAATATAATAAGAACTAAGAATTGAAGACTTCCCTATTACTGCTCCGGATGTTTATCCTGAGCGTGCTGCTGACTTGATGGGACGATGCATAAATTAATGACCTGAACTGTGCAGGAAGCAAATGAACACAATACACTATCAATCAGCTTCGTTTGGAAACAACCGGCTCTAATAAAACGGGAGATGTCTGGGGCCATCCATCTGCTCCCTTCCCTGCACCAGCCATCAATTCCTACGCTTCTGCCAAGCCAGCATCCTGCTGAATAACTTGGCGCTATTAAACCGGGCCCCTCCAGGCGCTTGGCTGACAGAGACCTCACCTTCTTCTTTTCCTCCAGCAAAACGGCCACGGGCTGCACAACAGGACAAATCAAGCTGAACCAAAGCCGCGGCCGTCTTTGCTGAGCTGCGAGGTCCGAGGGCGAGGCTCCGCGGGGCCCTGAATCGCAAACCGGCCGTCCTATTTCAGCCGCCTGGTCAATGGCGCTTGCTTTTGGAGGGGGGGAAAATCCCCCTGGGGCAGAAACATCCCTGCCTCCACGCCAAGGAGAAGGGCCTGGCCAGCAGCGAACCAGGCTGTCTGCGCAGCTCTCTGCCAAGCAAGCCTTACCTGGCACCTGGTCCGGTTGCTAGGAGACCAGCCAAGGCTTGCTGGGCGCCTCCAGATCGGCAGCTTTTATGCTTGGCAAGCCTCAGCCACGCGGGCTGGTTGGAACAAAGGGCGCCAAAGCCAAGCCCAAGGGAGAGGGGCGAAAAGGCAGCTGGGGGAGGGCCAGGGGAGGAGGCCCCGGAAGGGAGCACGAGAAATCGGGGAGGGGCAGCAGGGGGGGGCTCCAAGGCTGCCTTGCTTTTTTGTTTCTGTTCACGCCTCCAAACCGTTTCCCTGCTTGGAGGTACCTGGGTTCTGGGAAGGGGTGGAAAAGCAGACAGAATGGGGAGCCCTGCTGAGCAGACGACGACGCAACCCTTGGGCCGAAGAGAAAAATGTCAGGGAGCAGAACTTGGACCCCACCTCGGTCAAGGAAGGAGGCTTGGCCTGTGAGGGCAGAGGGGCCACCTGCGTGCCCTGCGCTGGCAAGAGGAGGGGGAGAGCAGCCCCCAACGGTTGTGCAAATGCAGAAACCGAGTCACTTTGGGTTAGGGCCACCCAGTGCAGCCAATTTCTCTCTAAAGTGAATTTGCCACCTGGGTTCCCATGCTGCCCGGAGGCGCAGGATGTCTGAACACAACGCTCCTTACCTTATACATACACCGGCGAACGAACACTGGCCCGCGTTTAGCCACAACCCGTGCTTTTGACCCACAGTAAACCAAGGAGGAATCACCCCGCAACGAGCACGCTCTTTGGGGGAGGGGGACGGCCGTACCGTCGGATGGTTCCTGGTCTCGCTTGAGCTCCGCGCCGGCTCCGGTGGTGACCTGCTCAATAATCCGCTGCAGGTGGTGCTTGAAGACGGCCGTGGTCAGCTCCTCCGCCTCGCAGCCCAGGACGTCGGCCGCGCGCAGGGCCCACTCGAACTTCAGGAACTGCTTCCTACCCACTAGAGGCGGAGGAAGGGGGGGGCAGAGCGTTGCCATCCGGGACTTCACCTTCCCAATGGCACGGTCCCTGCTGCAGCCCTCAAATACCGGACCCCCAGCCCCTCCTTCCCTCTCCCTGGAAGGCTTCCCAGGGTCTTAGGGGGGACTGGAACCTGCTCCCCCCACCCGCCACCCTGTCCTGCTTCAGCCCTCGAGCCACACAGGCTCCCACGGCCTTGTGGGCGACGCACCCGGCTAAATTCATTCCTCGGCATCTGGCCAGTTTCAGGGGAGTCGCATTCGCATCCTGGAATCCTATAGAAACCCCGACTAAACCAAGAAGAACATCGTTGGTTCTCACACGGGCTACTATCTGAGGGCGCCAAGCCGAGACGGGCAGCAGGCTGAGGAATTTCCCCTG